ACACGTCAACAAATACAAAATAAATAATAGTCTGTCAGTCAGTCCGTCAGTGAAGCTAGGTGAAGCTAGGTGCTCATTCCAAAATGTAGATTCGAATGGAGAAGAACGAGCAAGAAACTCCATTCGTTACTCTTTTTTTAAAAAAAGTATGTTCTACAATGTCTCTGATACATTGAACACCCACGTATAATAAATTAATGTATAAATAATTATAATAAGTCATATCCACGTTAACCCACCGCCAGAACACAGCGCGGCGCGGGGTACAGAAGTACCGAATGGATTTCGGAAATCGATTGCGTCCAAAAATATTTACAAGAACCACGTGTGCTTTCACGCACGCACTGAAAATGTACACCTTTATGTAAAGAATTATATACAACATGGAGTTGTATAGTTAGAACAGTTATATTTAAGATATGAGTATATAAAAGCTGATGATTTCAAGCTTCTCGGTGATATATCAATTATTAGAGAAGGCTCAATGTAGAAGTGTCGTGTTTGTGGATGTTTTTGACCAGACTATGTTTTAAGTAACTGTCATAAATGTATGGTTTGTGATGTGCAAATAGAGCATGCCAATGAAGTCGATGTGAAATGACAACGATGTTAAGTTTAAGATGAAACTTCGGATTAATGAAAAATAAATATGAATGTAATAAATCAGGCCTTAATTTAATTAAGCCGTTATATTTAATATCATAAACAAATAAATAACAACTTAACCGACCTGGCCTAAAACCATAAACTGACAAAGTTGACCAAAAGCCATTATCATCGCCAAACAGAGCGGCGTATCCGATAAATTCAAAATATTCACACGAAATGATTTAATAACAAAATAAACAATAAATAAACGCGAAAATTCACCAAAAACCGACCGTCCATTAAATTTATAGGCCGGCACAGAAGTCGATACACGATATTTAGATGAATATTCAATATATAAATTAAACCCCGACCTACAGCAAGCGAGAGTAAAAAATACCTACTACAATATAAATTATGAAAAACACTACACTGACACACGGCCAGTAAACGTCACTACGATCAGCTGATCAAATATATTGCTACTATAAAAAGTGAAAACGCAAACTACTCTGCCCCTACCTGCATCCCTTTCCCTCTTACATCACGCTTTCATGTTGAAGCGAGACAGAGCGCCAGGTCGACGTCGCGTAAAATGATATATTAATGTCAGCTGTGTTTAGGACCTTGCGAGTCTACAAAATAATAGATGGTAACAAATAAATTACTCGTTGAGTGCATTTCTGAACGAAATTCGGGCGGTCGTCGACCGGCCGTGGCTGCGGTGCGTAAATCACGATTGATATACGACTCCCGAAGGTCGCCATCTTGAATGTTGCGTTCGAAATTTGAATGTGTACGCGCCATTGGCTCGTTTGTGCACTTGTCAAACGGATTTTGGCGGGATTTCGGTTTATAGGTTATGTTTACGATTTTATGGTGGGAACATTTTGAGATTGCTGTTTTGCAATTCAGATGTAATAGAGGCTGCTGTCTGATAGGCTCTTAATATGGTGATGTTGGAATTGTAAGTTTATGTCCACATAAAAATATGTGGTTGTAAATTCTCCCGATCAATGACTGTCTGTATGTCATAGCTAGTCAAACAAACGCATTGCAAAAAGCTGTATATTGCTTGAATCATAAGATTGACGGATGATACCGACAACTGGCTCATTTAGCGTACATAATTAGTATACTTTTTAGCGTCCGATGCCATCAAAACGGAACAAACGCGCGGTAATCAGCTGTCAATCTGACAGGTCGTATCATACAAATCTTTAATTGTGATTTCTGACAAATTACCGAGTTGATAGTTTGCTAAATGGACAATTATCATTGGTCATAACTACTAATGAATGTTTGCAGTGAGTCAGTCCTTGATTGGAGGTTATGAAGCATAATATCTTACTTAGATCAGAGGACGGAGGCTGGAGATGAAAGGAATGGGTCTGTACGTAGTAATGTGGACAGTTTTAGAGCAGTTTAATTTGAGTAGCGATTTATGAGTGTAGATTTGATCAACTATTATTTGCCCAAAGAGGTGTGTCATGTTTGGACTTTACACCCATTTAGAGGTATTGCCTTATATTTGGAGCATTATATGATGTATCTTTCGCCAAAGGGGAGATCATTTTAAGAATAAGTGCAGTTATTCAGAATTTTGCTGTTGAAAGACCAAACCGAAGTGAAAGGACTGGTGCACTTGCGACTGTTTGATCAAAGCAATCCATTTTCTTTATTTCTGTTACTCACATATTCATTTAGTGGTTGTAATTTCATTCAGCTTAAGTTAAGTTCTTGGGTGAGTTCTTAGGTTAAGGAATGGTGTTTAAAATAAGGAATATTCCTAATGCCTATGTGACTATGGGCATCTGTCTTACTGCATGATATGATGTGTGATCCAATGATGCCATGACATCCGAAAAAAGTCATCGGTTTCAAAATCACATAAACTTATTTCCATGTTTATATTAAAACTGTCAGTAGAGTAGCAGCGCGACAGTTGCCGCGACGCGAATCGCGGAATGCTGCTCATGATTATGAGCCTCTAGTGTGGCTTGAAACTAGTCGAGTTCATCCCCAAACAGTTACGTGAGTAAGCCGAAAAAGAATTAACTTATTTCCAACACCAAATTCGAAGCCAGAGCCACTAGAAACACAGCTACTAACCAAACCATCCACTTACCCCATTTTGCCGGCGGCTCAACAATGTCAGTTACTATAATAGTTATCTACCGCATTTGTAATTAACTAGTAGTATTAACAATAGATAGGAATCAATGCTATTGCGCCGTGTTATACTGCTACGGAACCATTAATCATATTTAGGGGCCCGCGGCGCTTTAACAAATGAAGAAACGAATCGGTGATGTGATTTTTGAATGAGTTTGTGATGAAAAATGTTTGTTGGGTAGTTTTGTTTTTGGGTTTGGTGTTAGAGAACCAAATTAACTTAAAACTCGTGGGTTACTCACGTGAGTATACTGGGAAAAATAGGGCTGTGCGACATCGCCGCAACCGAGCGCGCTGCTCATGAGGATGATCCCTTTGTGGTTCGAAATTAGTAGAGTTTTTCTCGGTATATTCGTGAATAACCCGCGATTTTTAGTTAATTTAGTATGTCTCACGATAGTTATTGTAAAATCTCGGTTAGAGAAATTTAAATTTCGGTTAGTCCTAAGTGGTTTAAACTGTCAAACACCAAGCGGTCACCGGTGACCGCAACCTATTGTTCTATAATTGTGTCTACAAAACCGGTAATCGACGAGTTAATGTTTGTTTTGACAATTTTAAAAACTTTCATGTGTAAGTTACGCAAGACACGTGTGGGTTGTTAAGGGTTAAAGTTCCTACTAGTGTACTTCTAGTGAGATCTACTTAAAAATCTAATCATACGGAATCACGACACGAAAAGAAATATGCAGATCCCAATCAAGTTGCAAGAAACAAAGCTTATTCTACCATTAATTAATATTGTGAGTCGATACCGACGCGAGCAAATCAACGCACAGACAGACAACCCGATAGCACGGTTTTGAAACAAAGAAAAAACGTCCACTCCGATTTCTCTGTCACTCTTTAAGGGTAGAAAAGAGACGACGATATCCAATTTCAGCGTTCGTATTTTATGATAAATAGCTGTAGCAACGCGCGAGTGTGTTCCCATGTCCGATTGATATTGTTTGCATTTAATTTATTTTATGCATCAACAGAATTTTGCACTAAATGAATACCCAGTTTCCGCAGTGACGGAATTATGGGATTTCACACAAATACGGGACGCGTATCCGAACGTTGGCTGTGTGTTTAAAATTCGAACGCGATTGAAATGAATACGTCATTTCGTTGTTTTTCTTTCTTTTTGATTTTTTTTTTATTTAAAATTGGAATGGAATTGTATTTTTTTTCGAAATGATGTGCGATACGATTCGTTCGGTTTTTGATTCCGTTTTTATAAATGTTCGTATTTGTACGTTGTAGTGGGATTGTGTGCTGTGACTGCAACGGTGCATTTTGGATATTTCTGTGTCATATTACAAAGTCATTTTGTACACTTTGGAGGCTGATTATGAATTTATTATAAACGTACTAGCTACCGCTGTTATCAACTTGTGCCCGGAAAATCCAAGCTAGTAAGTATTAAGCTGTCAACAATCTCAGTACAAATTTTATCAAAATCAGTTGAGTAGTTTCAGCGTAATAAGTACAAACAAACAAACAAACATTCCTATTTAGAATATTGGTTAAGATTTTACCATTGATTATATCATTCTGAGAGGTTAACATCGTTATACAAATAACTACACGAAATAACTGTACTTTAACTATAGAGCTGATTTAAAGAAGCCACACAATGCTGGCTTTGTTCACCAGCTTACAGTAATGGCTGGTCAGGCATCGCACCTATCGCTTACACGCATAATTTAACAGCTTTTACTATTCTTACACATGACAGCTCAAAAAGCAAAGATCATTCATTGATTGGCCCATACATAGATCGAGATCCGTGACGTCATCAACATGACCTGCAGACCACAGACCCGCGATTCCCAACATTCCAAAATTTAAATTTCTATAAACAATTTTGCACCGTACAATTAATTACTACAAAGGTCATTTTAGATTACGCTCGCACAAAATTTTTCATAACGTCACAAACGCCGTTTACGCTAATTTTGAATAAAAAACGCTATGCTAAAGTTTTTATGGTTGGTTTTTGTGTGTTTATGGCAAATGAGAGTTGTTCGAATGCCTATAAATTAGCTGGTTTTAATGACCTAATGAAATTTTACGACGCGAGGCGAATCTCTCGCGGACTCCTAGTGTTAGCGCGATTGACTTATTGTGCCGAGAAAAAAAAAATGGTGCGACCCATAATTATTTTTGGATTTTTATGAAGATTGGAATTTTCTCTTAGAGTCCTTTTTACATGCGCTGCGTTTGATTTATGATGCTTTCCTGAAGCTTACCCATCGCATCTGAAACAAGAAAAAAAATATATTTAAAAACACATTACGAGTTACTGAGTTCATTATATAGGATTATTTGAGTTATTTTTAAAGGGAAGGGGAGCAGAGATAGTAGTTCTTACTATACTTTTTTCATTGGAACTTATGGCAGCGTGTATTAGATTATGCATTGAAATAGTTTGAATATAGTAATAGTTGTCCATAGCTGTGTTTAGGAAAAACATCTACGCAGTTATGGTCTCCTAGTCCCATCTGACATAGTTACAAATAAATCACTAATATTAGGTAATAAATTAATGTCCTAGATTTCATTATAGAGAAATTAACCTACATGCTACCTAGCTATAGCTACACGTGTTTTGCATTAATCTATACAAAATATGAATTAACCTTCAAAACAATACGTTTCTCAGGAATCCCCATGTTTACGGATTTCCCAACGATTTTAAAATATAATAATCTCTTCGATACTGTGTATCTAACCCCGAATCCTACTGATAGCATATCACTAGTCTCCTTATCAACTTTATCACATCACTGAGAGACACTTGACGTTTAAAAATTTGGACATTTTGACAGGTAATCCGTCAATCCAAGGAGTTTGTATTGTAGGGATCAGCTGTTTGGAAATGGAATGTTTTATTTTTTGTTTAGTTGTTTTTCGTTTTTTGTTAACCTCTTTGTATTTATGGTGCCCTGGTACCTGGTACATGTGTTAGAAAACACTTTGTACATTATTTTGTCTTTTATTTTTACAAGTATTATTAATTTTGGCACTCATCTGTTTCAGGACCGTGTGCTGACAGAAAGTCAACTACACAACATCAAAAACAAATCATCGGAACGCCACACTTCTTTTTAAATTGCAATAAAAATAAGGCACAGGTAGAAAATACCTATCCATCCTTCCACCCAATCAGATCAGCCTCCAATCATCCAAGGTTCGTAAGGATGAGCATTCTTCCAGCTCAGGAGAGATGGTAGCTAATTAAAGAAGGGTTTTTCTCAGCAAAACGTGCTTCAACGAGGCCGCCTCCTTACTTGTTTACATTCCGGGCCCACAGTCCCGGTGCTACGGTTTCATAAACTGTTTACTACCAACGGATTTATTAAACTAAGATCACTGGTTTGACGTAGATGTGTACCTAATTTCTTTGTAACATTTTTAGATTTATCTAATGTATCGTCGTGTTTGCAATGAACTGTAGACCGTAATATTATGGAGAATAAATAGTTTTTATATTATAAGAAGACTTTAAGAATATTATATCTTCTTCGGGATAAACTTCGGAAAGGAGAGATGCCACAATCAAAAGTATGGAACAGCTTCTTTTGGTGTTAATAATATCCAATTTCAAATTTCAAAAGTTGTTTATCTCAATCAACTTGATAGAACACTTTAATAAACACCACTCATCAATAAACTTCATAATACAAGATGCATTCTAGAATCTTAACGATCCGTTGACTGTGGATCACGTTAACTCCCGTTCAGTCGGAGTACGGTGCAACCGGTCCGTCTGTGAGTCGGCCCTACTTGGAAATGTACGTATAATTCCACTTACTCGTTTACTCTGAGCTTACATGACGCTGGCGTATGTTTCATATTTTCTTTTTTATTTCTTTACTGGTTCAGAGATCAGAGATCAAAATTATTGTTGAGATTTTCAAAATCCTTCTAGGAATGATGGAAAAGCACGAGAAGATGGTGTAAAGAATGATATGAAAGAGAAAGGAGTTTGTGATGATGTCTGTTTTATGGACGAATGGAGAACGAGACATTGTATTGATCTAAAGTAACTGCGGATAATGCCAGGAGGAAGAACAATTTTCTTCTGGGATAAGTACAAGAAGAAGATGTAAATATCGGTTGCGTGATGTGCAAGTTAATCATGTTCATGACCCCCGGTCGCGTTGAAACTAATCGGACACACTCAAACAATGACGAGAGTAAATCTTCAACTGAACTAAACACTTAAGTCTCAATATTAAATCGCTTGACACAACAGGAAAGTTTTATATAAAAAATAAATAGGTGTTTCTGAACAGTCGCGACCTAAAATGAGACACATTTAGATATTGCGAAATCTAATTCTAGATTAAAATTATATGTCTCAGCTCAAGTATATTCTAGATAATAATAGGAGATTAAAATTTAATTTAGCGCTTGGGGAATTTAGAAAGCGTCTTGATTAATCATTATTATTATTATATTATTTATGGCTTTCCTTTAATTCCGAGTTGTCAAGCCATTTATATTGATTTTAAGATTAGTTCTAGACGAAGAATTTTGTTTTAAACTTCGATGCTTGTGCATCAAAAACGTGGTAAGTGGGAATTTCGAATTTTATTAATACTGTTACGATGCAAATTGGCTTAGCAATTCTTTAGGAGAATTATTTGTTATGTTGCATTCATAACTAATAATTTAATCAATTTGAATGAATGATGCGCCAATATTGGATACCCATCTATCATGATGAGATACTGTATTCTTAAATCCTTTTTGTCAAGATCCATACTCTGATAAGATAATTATTTTATATAACTTTGTTTTATAAGCGTCTAGATACAAGTCTCGCATCAAAATATACAGACACCGTTCTACGTCGTTTTTTATATTTACAAAAAAGTGACATTTTTGGACGAAAAGAGATTCATCAAAAATTTGCATACATGTCAATGACTTAACTATGTCATCAATATATTAATATTATCTATTTTTCAAATGTAGAAAGCGTTGAGAATGGTTCAAATTATTAATCAGTATTTAACGGTGTATTTTGATTAAATAAAATATAGAGGGTAATTTCCAAAATTTGAGATTATAGAATCTATTTTATAATGATCATGTTTGTCAATATGTTATTTTTTTTTCTTTTATTAACGGTGCATCGTAAAAAGGAAACCAGACTCTAGTATCCCCTGCATGTAAGCCGAGCTTAATCGGGTTGCGTGCTTCGTTGCGAGTGGGAGTCGGTCTTAATAAGCGCGGCTTATGTACTATAATAGCAGTACTGACGCACTCTCGCTATTTATACCCCTGACCTGTAACTTTGACATTAGATTCTAAGACCGAACGCTGTGGAAGAATGTTTTGATGGTGCAGCCAGTGGGTGGGTAGAAAGTTTGAGGAATTTTCGTCGGAAACTGTTTGATGTTATTGGTTGTAGGCGCTGATTGATACGACTGCGCGCTTGGTTTTGACCTGTTGGCATTCAGAAGACTTACTGCGCATACATTGCGTTACCTACAACAACATCATTGCTCTACACAGAATGTACTGTTTATAGATTCTCCTCAGATTTTAGTCTCAAGTTTAGCTGGGTGATTGCCCAGTTACGCCTTTCCTGTACGTTTATACGTATAATACGATTTTGAATTCCTGCCAACCCTTAAGTTATCCCTGAGCTGCTGTAACCTACACATATAAAGACGAGTGACAAACAGACAAACACGCATTTAAATGTTCGTCGACATTAATGCAGCGAGTGACCAGGGCGGCAGCTCCGCGCGGAGGTGTCCTGTATAATTTATTGATGCGGCGACGCGGCTAATGCAGCGGGCGACGCTGACTGATAGCGCTGCAGCGCGATATGATACCAGTGACGCGGTTAAGTGCGATCGCTTGTAACGCTGATACCGCATGGGATTCGCCCGGCCTACACTCCCAACAGCTCGTGCGAGCCTGGTACACGTGCCTTACACTACACGGGCTGTTCATTATTTTTTGGTCTTGTCATGCATGTCTCAGGAGATAGATGTCTCTCGGTACTTTTGTTAATTCCACCAGGGCGTAAGTAGTGCGTAGGATAGTGCTGTCAGTTGGTCGCTACTTGCAGTGTTTGTTTCAAATTGTGACACTCCGAGTGTTGGTTCAAAGATAGAACGTAATTACACCCTTTCAATGTATGCAGACGCCGCTGAGCGCTAACGGAAGCAATCTCTTTCGCCCGGTTTATCTACCCTCATAATTCTTTCACACAATATGATGCGTATGTTTAGTTTTCTTTTGATACTTTCGCTTCCAGTATTTTTTCCAACGCCAATAAACATACAAAAATCCCCGTATCCACACGTATCTTTTATCATTTCCACTGTTACGCGATCCGTGAGCAAATCCCCGTATCCGGGGATCGCGCCGGGGATCCGGTAATCCCGGTTAATAACGCCTAGCGAGGTCCCGGTGCGTCCCCGCCCCGCTCCTCGGCCCGCTCTCCGTAATCGAGAATTAGTTGGGAGTTATAATTGCCCGGTTATTATCAACATTGATTACGTTAGGATATTGTTGGAGCCATTCCACGTTCTTTTATTTCTGTAATTGGAAGTCTTCTCGTTGGATGTTTAATGAACAGTTCTTAATATTGGATTTTTTGTAGAACAGTTTTTTGAGTAACGCGCAGCTTGTCTGAAGCAAGCGAGTAGGTAGAAACTAGAAATAATACAAACTTACAAAGTGAACAAGAAATGTGTGCTTCATTTAGTCTTAAGTTTATTGTTTGTTTTCCCTTAAGAAAACAACCAAAATAGGGGGATAAAAATAAGAAGAAAATCCCGGAAAATTCGCCAATAGTTCCCCGAGCGGTACCAGGCCCCCATACAGTCGTGGAGGATTGCGGGGCTAATGATTGTGCCGGCAGCGGGCTCCTACAAATCCCACCAATATGGAGTGCGGAAAATACCTGGAAAATGGGAATGTTATTTCCCTTCCCTCACGCGTTACATTAAGGGAGAATGTATGGTGTGTAACGACAGAGAAAATACTCGCAACCGTCAGTCCCCCAGCACTAAGTTGTTACTTTTAATTCACATCAACGTTTTTTATCACCACACAGTCTTTTGATGTCGGTCCATCTGTTCAGATTTCGTCGTAAGGGCTGGCCACACACGAACGTTTACGATTCCTAACAGTTTTACAGCCTGACAAACAAACAATCGGTTCCGAGCAACGCTGTAATCTGCTAAACGCTGGTATCAAAGTCAAAGCCGAATTTCTCGATTCCAAGTAA